AGACCCACCAGCCCCTGCCCCACTCGCTTCCCCCATCCCCCTCCCCAGACCCCACACCCCCTGTCCCACTGCTCCCCCCATCCCCCCTCTCAGACCCCCACAGCCCCTGCCCCATGTTACCCCATCCCCATCCCCATCCCCGACCCACAGCCCCTGCCCCACGCTCCCCCATGCTCCCCAGCTCTATACCAGCCCCACAGCCTCTGCCTCAGGCTCCCCTCATCTTCCCAGCTCTATATCAGCTCCACAGTCCCTGCCCTATGCTCCCCCATCCCCCCAGCTCTATACCAGCCTCACAATCCCTGTCTCACACTCCCCCCATCCCCATAAGCAGCTCTATAGCAGCCCTACAGCCCCTACCCCACACTGCCCTCATGCCCCCATCCCTATATCAGACCCACAGGCCCAGATCCACACTGCTGGGGCAGGGGATGGCACACTAAAGGACTGATTGTGCCCCACCCCCATTGGGAGGCCATGGGGGGCTCAGGCCCCACCTACAGGCTAGGGGGAAGGTCTCTGGTGTGGTCCCCAAACCTGGGGGTTGAGGGGTGGGGTGACCCATCCCTGCGGGGACCCAATGTGTCCCCCACACCTCATCCTGTGCTCCCTCCCCGGCCAGGAGCGTCTCTACATGGCTTTGGGGGGCATGCGCAGCACCCTGAACCGCTGCCAGCGCTTCCACGGGGAGCTGGGCATCACCCAGGGCATGACCATGGTGAGTGGGGGCAGAGGGGGTTGCGGGGGATGACCCTGTGCTGGGAGGGCAGGCAGGGACCAGCTGTGGGCAGGCGGGGAGTGACACTGCTAGGGGGCGGGCAGGGGTGTTACCCGCTAAAATTCTCTGTTACTCACACACTCTAGGGCACCCACCTTTACCCAGTTCCTAGGGCTCAAGGCTTAACCCTCTTTATTTAGGCACCCCAACCCTTTCCCAGTTCCTAGGGCTCCAGGCAAAAGGCACCTAACTTTACCCCTCCATGGGCTCCAGGCAAACATCCTTTCCCTGTGGACTCAGGGTTTAATCTTTTGAGGAGTTTACGGGATCTTTTACCAGTGAAAGAGCCCTGCACAGTAATATCCTACGTAACCTCTATTTATTAACAATCACTAAAAACCAGAATGCACACACCACACATACAATGCTCACCTCTCCCAATAAGATGAACTTTTCTTGATGGCCCGTCAGGATCAGGTCATCTGGGGGACTCCAGGTTCTGCACAGTGTCATTGGCAGGGTGTTGAGGTCTGGCAGCTCTGTTCTTGGGGCTGTGTCCTGGAGTTGGTTCCCAAAAAACTTCCTTTTGGACCCCAGTTTATACAGTGAAACTTGAAGCCTGCTTAGCTGTACTTTAGCCAATCATTTTACTAAAATTTTACTAACCAATGCTAACATATTGTAACAATTTTTTTAACCAATCCTACCCCACCACCTTAATTAATTTACACTTAGCAAAATTAATTATGTAACAGACAGAAACAATTAAAGAACCAGACAGAGATCATACAGACAAACAACAGGGAAGTGGGGACCATAATGACAAAACAATAAAGAAATGAGGATTTCACAACCACAACTATTGAGAAGTGATTTCTTGACAGACACAATGCTGTCAAACTAAGTTTTCTTTAACTATCTTAAGATCTGTTTCTTTATCTGGTGATAGTGGGTGCCATTAGGACAGGGTCTCCTTCTTAACAGCCTGATATTACATTGTTTTAATGTAATTTAGATGGAATGTGAGAATGTGACTTCCTGCTTCTCAGGTAAGGAAGGCCTTAGGCTTTAGGACTTGCAATATGGCTACAGACAGAGGCCTTATCCTTACCAGGGGACCAGCTGGGGGCAGGTAGGGAGTGACACTTTGCTGGGGGGGCGGGCAGGGAAGAAGGGAACAGCTGGGGCACCCAGGGGATGGACAGAGAGGAAGAAAGGACCAGCTGGGGGCACCCGGGGGATGGGCAGGGGAAGAAGGGACCGACTGGGGCTGGAGGGGGATCCTCCAGGTGAGGCTGCCCTGCTCTGACCCCTGCTACATTGTTCTAGGGCCCTGAGTCCAGCCAGTACCTGGAGGCGCGGGAGAAGCTGACTCGGCCCTTGGTGCGGGTGTACCAGCGCCATGTGGGCACCCAACTGCCTGAGGCCCAGATCCTCACCCAGGTAATTTCCAGTGGTCGCACCCACTGGTACGGCTGCAGGGAGAGGCATTGTTGCCCATCTGGGGGTACCTTGCCTGGTTGTGATGGCTGTAGAGTGGTGACAGTATTGCTGGATGGGGGTACTTTGCATGGCTGAGATGGCTCTAGGGGGTGATGGTCTTTCTGAGCAGGAGTACTTTGCCCAGTTGTATGAGGGTGAAGGTGTTGCTGGATGGGGGTACCTTGCATTGCTGGGATGGCTATGGGGGTGATGGTTTTTCTGGGCAAGGGAACCTTGCACAGCTGAGGGGGCTTTCAGGAGTGATGGTGTTACTAGTTGGGGGTACCTTGCCCAGCTATATGGAGTTACTGGATGGGGATATCTTGCCCGGCTGTAGGGAATGATGGTGTTGCTGAGTAGGGATACCTTGCCTGGCTGTGATGGCTGTAGGGGTGACAGCATTGCTTGGCAGGGGTACCTCACCCTGCTATGGGGAGGTGATGGTGTTGCTGGAGGAGGGGTGACTTTGCCTGGCTGCTAGGGGTGAGATGTAGCTAGGCGGGGGTACCTCCCCCTGCTGCAGGGAGGTGACGATGTTGCTGGAGGAGGGGTGACTTCACCAGGCTGTTAGGGGTGAGGTGTAGCTAGGCTGGGGTACCTCACCTGGCTGCAGGGAGGTGACAGTGTTCCCTGTCCGCCTGTCCCTCCCCCAGGGCAGTGTGCTGCTGGAGCGCTCCATGCAGAAGGCGGCGGCTAACGTGCAGCAGATGCAGGCCACCCAGCGGCACCTGCACACCTCCATCCGTGACAAGCAGACGGGCTTCCACGTGGACGCCAGTGTGCAGCGCCTGCGCCGCCGCCGCATGCACCCCCGCAGCAGCCTGGAGGAGGCCCGTCAGATGCTCTGCTCCTAGGGGGCCCCCACAGCCAGAGCACGAAAATAAAATCCCCAGAGACCTTTGACCTGCCCAAGAGTGTTACCCCACCAGGGAGGGGCGGGATGCGGGTCCTGGAGCAGGACAGGCTGGGGAGGCCAGGGGAAGTGGGGATGGGGGGATCAGGGGCATCACAGAAGCCGAATGGGGTGGGGGAGGTGTCACAGAGCCACAAGATCGGTGCTAACCCCCAGCTTTTAAACAGTCCCTACTGAACTTGGCCCTTGTTGCTGCCAACTCAGAGGGGCAGAAGGGTTACACTGGTATAGCTACACTGGTGTCCAAATGACATTAGGACCGGAGAGCATTCCCTTCCTTCCCTGTGTTTGGGAGGCAGTGCAGCCCAGTGGATACAGCTCTGGCATGGGAGTAAGGACCACCGGCGGCTCATGACTTTTGTGTCAGGTGATGCACCAATCACCTCCCAGGGCTGTGGTTTTCAAACTGTGGGTTGCGACCCAGTACTGGGTTGTGGAATGTAAGGCACTGGGTCGCGGTGGCTCTGGTCAGCACTGCCGATCGGGCCATTAAAAGTCCTGTCAGCAGTGCTCCCTGGCTAAGGCAGGCTAGTCCCTTCCTGTTCTGACACCGTGCTGCGTCCCGTAAGTGGCCAGCAGCAGGTCTGGCTCCTAGGCGGGGGGGCCACAGGGCTCCGCACACTGCCCCTGCCCTGAGTACTGGCTCCGCTCCCTGGGGGGATGGTGCCTGCGGGCGACAGCCGTGTGGAGCTGCTTTCATACCTCCACCTAGGAGCCGGACCTGCTGCTGGCCGCTTCCGGGGCGCACTGCAGTCCGCGGTGCCAGGAGAGACAGGAAGCCTGCCTTAGCACCTCTGCTGCAGCAGTGCCCGGGAGCCACCTGAGGTAAGCCCATGCCGCAACCCTGTGCCCCAATCCCCTTCCCCAGCCCTGAGCCCCCCCAAACCTGGAGCCCCTTCCTGCACCTCAAACCCCTTATCCTTGGCCCCACCCCAGAGCCTGTACCCCCAGCCCAGAGCCCTGACCCATTCCCACACCCCAACCCCCTGCCCCAGCCCAGAGCCCACTCCCACACCCTGAACCCCTCATTCCTGGCTCCACCCCACAGCCCTCACCCCCACACCCGAACCCTCTGGCCCAGCCTTGAGCCCCTCCCACAGCCCAAACCCCTCATCCCCAGCTCCGTTGGTTGGGTGTTGCGTTTCGCTACTGGCGAGAGGGAGTTGGGACAGATTTCAATTAAATCACAAGCACTTCTTGTGGCCTTGTGTTATCTTATTGCATATACTTTCTGGGGGAATTCTGCACCAAAAATTAAAAATTCTGCATATTTTGTTTGTCAAAATAATGCAATATAATCAATACAGAAAAAAGTCACAATAACTATTTAGCATTTCCTAAACATATGAAAGTTAAATTACAAATACTAGGGAACCAATACCCTGCATTCCCGTTTATAATCCTGGCTGGCTACTTTGGGAAGTGCTTGGTTCTGATTGTCTTGACATTTTATTGGTTGCTTGATAAATGTTTTATTTGCCCTCAAAGTCTTTTTTTTTAATGGGTAAGTAAAATAGATCCTGACCTGTAATTAACCCCATTTTGCCACTCTGACACAGGAAAAAAGTGAGACAGAACCTAGATCTTCCTAGCTGAGGATTCCCTCACTGTTATTCATAATAAGGCTCCTTTCCACCACTCTGGCAATGTAAAGGAGCCTTAAAACTTTTACACGTGTTTTATGAACCTGGGGGAATTGACTAAGAATGGGAACAATTAACTGCCTCAGAGGACAGAACCTGCCTCATGCCTGCTTCCAAACAACCTGAAGCCCTACCCATCCAGGCCAGGTGAGTGAGAGGGACAGAGTCCCCCCCATGCATGCTCACACGCCCAGCCCCTGCCCCACCATGGTGATTTACGCTTCCGCCTGCTGCTCCAAGCGTGGGGAATGTGTCCCCGCATATTTCTTTGCTTCCCCATTTTTCTGGGGCGGGGCAAAGAAATCTGCGGACAATATGAATTCTGCACCCGCGCAATGGTGCAGAATTCCCCCAGGAGTAATATACACAAGAGTCACTGTCCTTAAATCTGTATGTGTACAAAATGTATTTTGTGGCTTTGGGGAATTCTTGGTTAGGCTGCACCTCCTGGGCCTGGGCTGATGAGCCACCACACCTCAGGACACCTGGGTTCTATCCCTGTCTCTGGCCTGCTAGGTGACCATGGGCAAGTCTCATCCCCTTTGTGCATCAGTTTCCCCCATGTGTAAAAGCGGGATAACAATCTTGCCCCTTCCGTGTAAAGTGCTCTGAGATCTGCAGCTGGAAAGCGATAGGTGTTTACCCTCATGCTGCAGCTGAGGTAGTGGTGGCCCGAGACTGACTCTGCCCTAGACCACCCAGGCGTCTTACACCTGAGTACCAGCCCAGCTTGCTGCTCTTGGTCAGCCGTGTGTGCACACCTCTGCTCCCTCGCAAAGCCTTTCTCTACACCCCACTACAATACCATGGAGCTTTATACGCTGTCTCTGGGTGGGACCCCAGCCCAGGTTCTCAGGGGGACCCACAGCACCCAGTCTCGGGGGGGACCCCCAGTCCCCGGTGGGCTCCCAGCCTCAGTCTCCGGGGGAGGCATAAGCCTGAGCTCAGGAACGAGCCTTACAGCTGCTTTCCATTAATACCCATGGAGAGGATACATAGGGCAGCTGTGCCCTCACTAGACATGGCGTTGTTCGCTTCGCAGCTGACAATGCACAAGCGCGGTAGCAGCGCAGCCTGGCAAAACCTACGGCCGCGGGCTCTGGGCTTCGTGCTTCCTCAGTGCGCACGCGCGATAGAAGTGGTGGCGGCACATGATACATGCTGCGCATGCGCTCTCTCTCGAGCGGCCATTTTTGAAACGCCGGGGTAAGCGACGCGCGCATGAGTCAGAGAGGGGTCAGTGCTGGCCGACGCTTCCAGCACTGCACATGCGTGAGCACCCTCTCCGGACGTAGAAATGGGAGCATGCCTACACACGCGCCCAACAGATTAACGGGCAAAGCCCTGGGCGGAAGCGAGGCTTCGGAACCCCTCGTCACGCCTACCTGCCGCCCCTGGACGCAGAGTGGCGCATGCGCAGTTCAGCACCGGAAGCTCTTCTTGGCCCTCTAGATCATAAGAGCCTGGGAAACCCCGTATAGAGTTCTCTTTCCTGTGCTAGACGCCGCCAGAGCTACCGCCATGTGAGTGCGGGGGGGCTGGGATGGAACGCTGATGGGGGGCGGCCGGGGTCCCGCGTGTGGGGATGGAATCCTGGGGCTGCGTGTGGGGCGAAGGGGGGTGGAACCCCAGGGGTGCGAGGGGCCCGCGCGTGGAACGTTGCGGGGCGATTGGAACCCCGGGGCTGCCCGTGGGGGGGGGGGGGGCGGAGTGGAACCCCAAGGGCTCGCGCGTGGGGCGATGGGGAGTATGGAACCCCAGGAGATGTTTCCAGGTGCAGCGCCCTCCCTATGTGTCTTGATCCCCACCCGAGGCGGGTCCTGTTCCTGCCGTGCAGACACCACCTGTTTCTCTCAAGCCCCCGCCCCCACCCCCACCCCCCAATCTCCACCCACGGGCGCAGTGAGCCGAGCAGGCACCGCCGGGCCCGTCGCCCTGCCCGGTGCAGTGGGGGGCGGAACTGACGCGCCCCATGCTGGAGGGGAACCCATAGGCCTTACTGGAAATATCCTGCGCCGGCCCTCTGGGTGCCTAGCTGGCAGGAGCCAGAGGCTGCAGATGGCTGTTGCCCCCCAAGCTGTGCGCTCCCCACAGCAGCTACCCTGGAGATGCCTCCAGAGGCGTCATTTTGGGCAGCCCCCCACCCCAGAGGAGCTGTGTGTGGGACTTGGGGGGGCTGTCCCACGGGGGCTAGCAGGGATTGCACACTGCTGTGGGGTGCTCTCCTTGGTGGGGACATTGAGGGGGGCTGCTGGTGAGGTGGAGGGGTTGCTCTGCCAGGGGACTGGTTTGGGGGTTCTGCCCTATAGGGATGGGCATGGCATTGGGGTCCCCCATATATGGGAGGGTTGAGTGTGGGACATGGGGGTGCTGCATTGCCTGACCTTCCCTTCTGCCCTCCCCAGAATGACCGAGTGGGAGACGGCGCCCGCTGTGGCCGAGACCCCCGACATCAAGCTTTTCGGGAAATGGAGCACAGATGACGTCCAGATCAATGACATCTCCCTGCAGGTCCGGGGAGCCTGAGTGGGCGGGCCAGGATGCTTGGGTTCCCCTTCTCTCTCTCTCTCTCTCTCTCTCTCTCCTCCTCCCTCCCC